GTATGCCATGCACTATTCTAGGAAAGAACTAACCCTTGCCCTGGGAAATAAGTCACATACACCCAGAGTCCCAGTGGGCTGAGGGCCAACACAGGCCTGGCTCCAGTGACGAGGGAGCTGCAGCTAGCCTTGCGCTGCCAGAAGGGGCCAGGGAGGGCTTCATGGAGAAGGTGGTGCCAGGCCCTTTTGTGGCTAGGTCTCTGTTCCTCTCTCCATCTCACTTACTCCCGTCTGTCAATATACTAGTACATCTGTGTGCCTATCTGAAGAACACCTGTCTCCTCCATTATTCAGAGCTCCAAGAGGACTGAGGCTTTGCCCACCTCTGCACGGCAGCACCCGCCCCACAACACGTGCTTGATGCTCACTTACTGGATCGATGAATGGTGTGGCAGTGCTGGCCCCTGAGCAGGCCACACAGCCAACAAACCTCTCTACCTTCCAGAGCAGAGCCAGGCATCAAACGCGGGCGGGTCTGGGCTTCAGGAAGAGAAGGATAAGGGACTGGAGGCAGCCAAGGAGAGCGCAGAAAGCACTGACACATTCTGGTTCTGAGCATGGGGGTCTGGGACGTTTCGTTGCAAGCATTTTTGCTTGCAATTTACATATCCTCAGCGCAATGACCGAGTCCTGTCTCATCATGGAAACCCAGGAACTATCACACTAGCCGTGGCAACACGTTGTCAGTCGTGCCCCGCAAGAGCCACTGCAGCTCCCTGTTTTTGTTTTTCTAAAACCAACAAGCCATGTTGACAGCAAATCTGTACTGAGAACCTATTAAAGAAATTGTAGTAAATCAGAGATGCTTTAACTGCCTGTCTGGCGTCCCGCTGATTGCAAGCCTGACACTTGACTGTAGCTGCCTTTGTACAGTCTCCCATTTGATTCCATTCCCCGGATAATTACTGAGTCTTGACTACGTGCAAGGCAATGCATTGGGGCCTCATTCCCATTGCGTCTTTCAGGCCCAGAGTATAATTTAACTTATGGACAAAAATAGGCACAACAGGAGCAGAGAGTGACAGAGGCCACCAGAAACTGGGCAGACTATTTCAAAGAAGATAACATTTTACCATGTGAGCAGGTGTGCAGTAGCTGGTACCACACACACGCTCACTCATTTGCTTACGTATGCATTCAACAGCATTCCCGAGCAACTTTCCTGGGCCAGGCCCGGTCCTGGGTCCTGGGGTCAAAGGGATGAATGAGCCCCAGCCCCAGTGTACAGCAGAGTACCCTGTGGAAGCCAAAGCAGTGTCACTTAACTCTTTGGGAAGTGGAAATCAGGGAGGACTTCTCAGAGGAGATACTTTCCTTTGCCTCTTAAAAGAGTAGTTCACCAGGTGCAGAGGGAGAAAGACATACAAAAGATCTTGAGATGTGAGAACAGGCACGCTTTCAAGAAGATTGTGGTAGAGTAATGTGTCTGTGGGGTGTCAGAGTTAAGCCGAGGGCCAGAACATACAAAGTGTGGATTTCATCCTGAAAGCCACTGAAGGATAAGAAAAGTAGGGCTCTGCACGTTTGTAGGATGGCTGGGCAAAGGTTCCCTACTGGACTCCTCTAAGCGGGAAGTCTTCCTGGGATGGGACCTACTCGAGATAAGGCTGTCTGGGCTGGCCTGGGCTCTGGCCAATCCAAGGGAAATTTTGGAAGAATCCCAGCCCTACCTCCTATTTGACTTTCCTTCCCCTCTAGAGTGGAAATCATAATACTTAGCTCACAGGTTTATAATGAAGCACTGATCACATCACACACACTGCCCAGCCTAGTAGGACAAGCCTAAGTAAGCTTCAGTATCTGTCAGTCTACCCTTCCCCACGCTTCCCGATGTGTGCCTGAGTCATGCGTATCAGCACCCGGGGAGGGAGGGACTGCTCAGAGATGATCTAATGAAACAAGAATGACTTTGGCAAGCCAACAGAGCTCTAAAACAAAGTTGGAGGAGACGTTAAGAAATTATGATCTATCCCCTTGTCTTGGGTTTCAAACAGATGACAAGAGACAAGACGATGAAAAGAGAGAAAAGTAAAAGACTGATGAAATGCTTTACCAAGCAGGACATTTTGGAGCAAGTGGCATTCTGAAAGTACCCAGGCAGGTTGGAGAAGGACTATATTATAGTTGCTATGGAGACTGGAAGGTGGGATGGCGATGGCAGTGGGGGTGATGGCAGTGGTGGTTTTGATGGGCGGTGGTGCTGTTGATAGCGGTGACTGTGGTTTAGAAGAATTTTCAGAGGCGGGAAAAAGTGGTGCTCAATATCCATAGCACCTGGATTGTGGACCCTAAATAATAATGCCATTTCCCACTAAAAGGAAGTAGGGCTCCTTGGAGAAATGGTTGATTCTAGATCGGAGGCAGAAAATATATTAGATGAGCCTGGAACAGCTTATTGCCAGAAACCAATAAATTATGAATTTCTACTAGGTAGGTTCGTATCAAAAAGGTTTCCATTGGCCAAGACCAGAAAACTTTGAGCACCAATAAGGACAATAACTGCAATATCTTGAAACACAGCAGATATATTTAAATCCATGAGTTAATAATGATACTAGGGAAAAAAACAACAACAACACCTCTCTAGTCACCTCTGGAGGATGCTAAGAAAACCACCCATTTTGAAAACTGGTAAATAAAGGGGAAATAATCTAACATTTAGCCTATCTTTCTCAATCAAATGTACCTGTGGCTGACCAAATACTTATTGAGGAAAGTTTATCTTTAGAAAGCATTTTAGATAATATATAACAATGAAACAAATGAATTGGAATTTAACCATTTGAAAACCCTAATGAATTAACATATCCAGGCAACAATCACCAATGGCTTCTCATAATGAGAGACAGACAATCAGATATAATGCCTGCCTTGCCCCCACCCCCAAATGACACAACACCATCAGGGCTAGATCTACCTACCAATTTTTCAGGGGTCAGAGGGGCTTATTATCTGACACCATCAATGTACAGCTAGCAAAATCTAGACTGTGGGAAACTCTATAGATTTCTTCCATAAATATTTCTCAAGGAATAAAAGAGATCTGAGAGAATGTCAACCAGTTGCAATGCCCAGGCCTTAGTTTGATCTTGTTTCCAACCAACTGTAAAAATAATAAATGAACCCATCAAATTTATGAGACAGAATAGCTGAAGATGTTAAGGAATGATTAAATTTTGTCTGCATGTCATAAAATTGTGTTTTTAAAAAGAACCCATATCTTTAAGAGCTATAACTAAAATATATATATACTGAAATAATATGTCTGGAATTCACTGCAAAAGAATGTACTGGCAGAGGCTGAGGGTCAGATGGGGCGGATACATGAAATAAGATCGGCTACGGATTAATCGTTGTGTTGAAGTGGGTAAGGGTTGACTGAGGGTGTGTTACGCTATTTTTTCTGCTTTTGTATACGTTAGACATTGTATATAGGAAGAGGTTCTTGTAGTTGTGAGTTTTCCTTTCATGGTACTTCACAACTAGATTCTGGATGTGGGGAGCAGAAGAAAACCACAAGCTTGTTTTGTAAAATAAGGAGACAGATCCGGGCAAGTAAGAAAGAACAAGGTCCATCTGGAAAAAACAAAGCAACCCATGTGGCAAGCCTAGATTAATAGCCTTAACATATAATGACTTGATTATAAAAATCCATAAGTCTATCAAAGCCCCTAAGGCACGTTACTAAAATAAATTAAGTGGCAATTTATCTAAAGAAAAAGATACGTAAGTAACTAGGAAATATTGGGGAAAACACTGCTCTCCCTTGGTCTCCACAGAGATGTAAATAAAACAATGAAATGCTTATCAGCAGCAGCCAGGACCCTCTCAGCACCTTCCTTTCCTCGGCTTCTGCTCCACCCACCACCCCCATCACCAAAGGGCGAACACCAGCTCTGCTTAGGAGCCTTCCAGGGGTCAAACCCCCTGGATCCCTCAAAGTCTCCTCATTTCCCCCAAGAATTGCTATTCTCTCTGGCTGGGACCCTCCAGACGAATGCTTTCTCAGAGAGTGCAAACGAATGAATTTGGGGTGTATTCATTCATCAACTGTGATGAAAGTACTGCGAACCCCAGGGAGGGGCCAGGTCTCCCCTCCACATCTTCAGGGGAGCCAGCAGGACTCACCAAGGCCATCCCTCAGGCGCCTATATGCCTGAAAGTTGCTCACGTCTAGCCTTTCTACTCCTTTATTAACGGCAGTCTTCTCAGAACTTGGACCAAGGAGCCCAAACTGATGTGACCTTTAACCTGTCAAAATCCATGGGGAGGCATTGCAGCCCAGCCATAAACCCAAACATGTGAATTTTCAAACCATGTTTAATCTGGGTGAAAACGGAGTCAAAAATCTTGCCAAGAACTTGCATGGACATCAATCAAACCCATTTCAGATCCTGTCTTAATCTATTTATTCCAAACAATCGGGGGGAATTGGGAAGGCCCATTAGGCATTACTGACTATGAGCTCTTAAAGTAAGCTATTTGTCCTGTTCATACTGCTGTCACTAATGAGAATTACGACACCCTCTCGGCTCCAGCATGGGATAGAGCTGGCTGTTAGGTCTTAGGAAAAGCATTTAGCAGGCTAATCGCTCACAGAGGCCAAAAGCTGCTTTCTACACTTTCAGAACGAACACGTAGATTCACCAGGAACAAGACAGCAAGCAGTAAAGTCAGGGAGAGTTGTTCTTTCTTAAGTCCTTCATCCCTTGATTTCTTCATCCTCATCTCCTCCCTCTACCCCTAAACATCTTACACACACACACACACACACACACACACACACACACACACACTTTCCCTCCATATCTGTCTCTAACAACAGAGCTAGGCTAATGCAGGTCAGCTTGATATTAAAAAACCTTCAGAGGCAAGAGGAGGGGGTACCTACCACCTCAGAAGCCCAAACACCAGAGATGAGCCAGGAGCTGGCCAGGGCACTCCCAACAGAGAATCCCCCCCATGGTAGCATTCCCAACTTGGTCCAGGCTCTGACCTACCTTTAGGGCAAAGTGCCCCGCAGCCCATGGTCTAGGATGTCAGTCACAGTCATGGTACCTTGTGCCCAGAGCTGACCTCTCCGTGCGGCCAGCCGCCACACCCCTCTGCTTTCAGGCTAATTTTCAGAGGTCGGAGGGCTGCCGAGCTATAGGATCTTTCAACCGTGTCCTGAGGAGAACGCTGCCTGCTCGATACAACTGTCAGCTCAGTGCATCGGCCGAGAACAAGTGGCTGCCTATATAATTTAATATGATGCCACATGAGACTCCTAGACCTGCTGCAAAGCAAGCAGGAGTCTGCCTCGTTCCTCTTGGCAACTGGAAGTCTAGAGCGCCTGCCTGTTGCTGCCGAGTCTGGGTATACACCTAGAGTCACCGTCAGAGCTGGGCAGGGGTGCAAGGAGTCAACTGCTGGGGGCTGATGAGAAATGAGTGTCATCCGGGAGGACGTGGCATTTCTTAGTCCACCCACAGCCTCAAGGTCATGAGCATCTCCTTAGGCAGACGCCAGTTGTGGGCACAGCTATGTGACCCTAGGCAGCTCTGGACATAAAGTAGCCATGCCACGCCCTCAAGCCTTTGCTCAGTTGTTGTGGGGAACCTGTCCGTTCTGGAGAGATGACCTAAACTCGCAGATAGATAATGAAAATGTGAGGGCACCTACACGCACACTATAGGCATGAATTCATAATCTTAAGCATGTGTTAAGGATGGGAAGCAAACAATTTGAATATTTGTAATGTTGGCCCTTTGGGTTTATTGGCTGGTTGGCTGAATGCAATGTCCTCTCAGCGGGAGGCAGGACCTGGTACTGTGCCTGTTTCGCTGGCAGTGAAAGCAGGGATGTGACCCAGCAGCAGCTGGGCTGCTTCCTCAGACACTGGGACCAGTTCATCTGCGCTCTGGTGGAACATCCCTGCGGAGTCAGTCCCAGGACTGGTTCCCGAGATGCCGGATCTTGGGGAACTTGGCAGGGATGCCCACCACTGTGGTCAGTCCTCCAGGACCCTGTGCCCAAATCACCCCGCCCCGGGGTAGGGGGGGCGAGGGGAGGAAGATAGCCCTGCTGAGAGTCAGTCCTAGGGAAGGTCTCTGGGCTGGAAGGAGGCACCATGGCCAATGAAGCAGGGGGTTCCTCCTACTCCATCTGACCCCAAAGACCACTGTGCGGATCAGGCTGGGAGACAGTGCTGCAGAGGGGCTCAAGGATGCTCAAGAGCCAGGAGCATCAGACACCTGCCAATTGCTACAGGTGCTTTGTGTACCTGAATGAAGGGTGGGGGGTTAGACTCAAGGAACTGACCCAAACCCCCCTTTTCAGTCCCCTCTAGCAGGCTGGCAGATGAGGTTTTTATTGTTGTTGCTGGGATTTGGGGGGCGTGAGGAGGTGGTAGCAAGAGGCTATCTTGGGTGCTTTCCCCTTTTTGAATAAGGTACTACTCTAAGGCCCTATGGACCACTTAAAATAAGAAGAAATCTGGGATGTAATTACTATGCTACCCATAACGGGGCCTTTTCATAATTATCAGCTTTATACTTATCATGTAAGAAACACCATATCCTTCAAATAGCTAATACCTAAAAGGCACAAAGTATGCAAATTCAGCTCACAGTTTTTTTTTATTACTAATTATTATGTGGCTGGCATTAAGTTGACCTTGCACACATTATCTCATTTAGTCTATGGGATGCAGAATTTATAAAAGTGAATTTATGTCATACTTGCTACCCACCACATCAGAGCATGTAAAAGAGAAGTCTAGAAATAGCACTGCAGGACTGGGCTAAAAGGTTTTGATTCACAGCAAAGGAAATTTAATTAACCATGTAATGTCAATTACTGTCATTCCTAATCATATTACACCTCCCCAGAAATAATACAGATATAAAAGTCTAGAGTTACCTGCATGTTTGATGTAAATAGGATAAAATTATCTAAGTTCTGAAAATATCCAGATATCAGAAGGAAGAAAGTATCTCTACCTAGCCTCACATGTCATCAAATTTCATTAGGTAGGGACATGAGCATCCAGCCGCAAGGAAGCCCATCCCTCCTCTGAGAGCAGGTCATAAAGACTTCCAAAGGTGCCCCAAAAGCTGGAGTGTAGCCTGGCTGGTTTGGCTCAGTGGATAGAGCATTGGCCTGCGGACTGAAGGGTCCCAGGTTCAATTCCAGTTAAGGGCACATGTCTGGGTTGTGATCTTGGTTCCCAATGTGGGGCGTGCAGGAGGCAGCCGATCAATGATTCTCTCTCATCACTGATGTTTCTATCTCTCTCTCCCATCCTCCCTGAAATCAATAAATATATA